TGAGCCCAGGAGTTTGAGATCAACCTGGGCAACATGGCAAAACCCTGTATCTACAATAAATTAAAAAATTAGCCACAGATGTGGTGGCACACACCTGTAGTCCCAGCTACTCAGGAGGCTGAGGTGGAAGGATCACCTGAGCCCAGCAGGTGGAGGCTGCAGTAGCCACGAGTGTGCCACCGCACTCCAACTTGGGCATCAGAGTGAGACTCTGACTCAAATATAAAAAATAAAATTAAAAGATGAATTAAAAATCTCACAAAATGTTAATACACAAGAATTAGGAAATGAGGACTGAATAACATTCCCATAGAAAATGAAAGCATATCATGGATTGGAAGAATCAGCATTGTGAAGATCTCCATCTTACCTAAGGCAATCTACAAATTCAATGCAATACCCATCAAATTACCAGCAACATTCTTCTCAGACCTAGAAAAGACAACACAGGAATTCATATGGAAATACAAACGTCCAAGAATAGCCAGAACAATCCTCAGCAAAAAAAACCAAAGCAGGTGGTATCACATTACCAGACTTCAAACTTTATTATAAAGCTACAATCATCAAAACAGTTCGGTATTGGTATAGGAACAGGCATATAGATCAATGGAATAGAATTGAGATTCCAGAAGCAAAACCTCAATTTCTCAACCAACTCATCTTCGACAAGGCCTCCACCACCTACCACTTGGGTAGGTGCTGGGAAAACTGGCTGACCACATTCAGTAAATGGTGCTGGGAAAACTGGCTGACCACATGCAGAAGATTGAAACAGGACCCCTATCTATCCCCATGCACAAAGGTTAACTCCAAATGGATCAGAGACCTAAATGTAAAACCTCAAACCATAAGAACCTTAGAAAATGAAGGAAATACCCTCATGGAAATCGGAACTGGCATCCAATTCCTGAACAAAACTCGAAACCCACAGGTCATAAGAGAGAAGATAGACAAGTGGGACCTTATTAAACTGACAAGCTTCTGCAAGGCCAAAGAAACCATCAAGAGAGCAGGGAGACAGCCTACAGACTGGGAAAAAATATTTGCCAACACCAGGTCTGACAAAGGCTTAACATCCTGGATCTACAAGGAACTAAAACGTGCTGAAAAGAAAAAAAAAACAACCCCATTATAAAATGGGCAAAAGATATGAACAGACACTTCACAAAAGAGGACATCCGAGCAACCAACAAACACATGAAGAAATGTTCAACCTCACTAATCATCAGGGAGATGCAAATCAAAACCACACTGAGATACCACCTAACTCCAGTCAGAATGGCAATTATCAACAACTCAAAAATAACAGCTGCTGAAGAGGGTGTGGCGAAAAGGGAACACTCCTACACTGTTGGTGGGAGTGTAAACTAGTGCAACCTCTGTGGAAAGCAATGTGGCGATTCCTAAAAGCTCTAAATATCAACCTCCCATATGACCCTGCAATCCCCCTACTGGGAATATATCCTGAAGAACTCAAATCACTCTACAAAAAAGATACCTGCATACGTATGTTTATCGCAGCATTGTTCACAATAGCAAGAACCTGGAAACAACCATGCTGCCCATCAAAAGAGAACTAGATTAAAAAAATGTGTTACATATACATGATGGAATATTACGCAGCCATAAAAAAGAACAAAATCATGAATTTTGCAGCAACCTGGATGGAACTTGAGTCTATAATACTGAGTGACCTCTCACAGAAACAAAGATATGAGTATCACATGTTTTCACTCATATAATGGACCTTGAATATCCAATGTAATACTATAAGAAAATGACTGACGGTACTGGGAAACTATGGGGGGGATGGGATCAACAGTAGCAAATATCTGTCTGGGGAAGGGGAAACACCTGTTATCAACAGGGTGCCTGAATGAAACGTAATTGTACACCTAACCCTTAACTGTACCCCACAAAACCATAATAAAAGATATTGATTTAAAAAAAAAGAAAAAAAAAAAAAAAGAAAATGAAAGCATGCCAGAAAGACATGCCCCCCAAACAGATGAAGGTATAACCCACCATTTCAAAGTGACTTAAAATCATTTAAAATAATAGAAGAAAAAAAGCAACATAATCTAGAATTAGGAAAAAAAAAGCTTAGAAATGAGATAACAAAACTTAGGAAAGAATTAGAAATAAAACAAAAAAAAGCTCATTAAATTGAGTAAGATACAATCACAGTAAATGAGAAGTTTAGGGGAAATCAGACCCTAGATAAAAGACATATTCTAGAAATAAACAATCTTTTTTTTTTTTTGAGTTGGAGTCTCACTCTGTCACCCAGACTGGAGTGCAGTGGCTGCTCCCGGCCACCGCAGCCTTGACCTGCTGGGCTCCGTCGATCCTTCTGCCTCAGCCTTCTAAGTAGCTGGAACTATAGGCGCGCGCTACCACGCCTGGCTAATTTTTTTGATTTAGTGTAGAGATGAGGTCTCACCAAGTTGCCCAGGTGCGTCTCGAACCCATGGGCTCAGGCAATTCACTCACCTCAGCCTCCCAAAGCGCGGGATTACAGGCTGAGTCACCAAGCCCGGCTGAAATAAACAATCTTAAACAAAATATTAACAAATAGAATTCAGTACTATGCTAGTTAGTATATAATATCCCAAGGGAGTTATTTTCAGGAAGTGAGAATGGCTCAATATTCATGGAATAGATGAAATAGATGAAATTGTATGATGATCTCAAAAGTACTTGAAGAAAACATCGGTAATTTTATTTATGATGTTGGAATGGCAAAAAACTTCTCTCAGTACTTGTGAAACTTAGGACCTATGATGGAAATGTTTATAAATACAATGATAAATTATACATTTATTTTATGACAAAAAAATCAGAGAAAAATAGAAATATCAAAACAGTTGCAACCCCCAATAACGAGTAGTAATTTACTTTCCTTACAAAAAGCTCTCATAAATCTTGGGTGCTCATTAAAAGAAAGATTAGTAGCCGGTGATTTCCACCCAAACATAGTGGTTGCATTTCTTTTCCTTCAGATGGAGACCGATTCCTTGGAAGTGTTTTCAGTATAGAAACCCACTACAGCAAAAAGCATGGTGAAGTTTCAAGAATTGGGGAAGAAAGTGTAATAATCATTAGCAGAACTTCTAAAGAACTCAGGGACCCTGGAATTCTGCTGAGCAAAGGAAGATCACTGAACCAAAGGCCATGGTCAGTTTTCACACATCTAGGAAGGAAGGACAGATTTAAATCCCAAAATCCTGTGGGTGTGTCTCTTTCCATCCTGTGAACTCAGGAGAACTTAAAGGAAATTCACCCAGAATTTCTATTCTATTTCACTATTCCTTTCCTGAATAGATTCATAGGGAATTCTGGTTTATTTCTTCAGCAAGACAGGGTGAATTAGAGTTACCTTTTCAATAAAGTGTGTATGTTCTATGCCATAATGGGTCTTGCCTTGGAAAGCAGATCACCATGAAGTAATTATGTGTTTAAAGTTTTTTTTTAAAGATAGGATCTCACTTGGTCACCCTGGCTGGAGTGTATTGGCATGATGACAGTTCACCAGAGTCTGGAATTCCTGGGCTCAAGGGATCCTCCTGCCTCAGCTTCCTAAATAGCTGCAAGTACAGGCACACACAAGCACATCTGGCTAAATATACTGTTTGAAAAAAATCAATATGTTATGAGCATAACACATAACCAGGGCTGGTTTCATGGACATAAAACCTGTGCAATTGCACGAGCTCGCGTGTTCAGAAGAGCCTCTTGGTTTAATGCTCTTCTGTTGCCATCTTGAAATTCTTAGTCATTTTACCTTTGAGCTTGTGTTTTGTAAGTAAATTCTGATTGGGACCACAGGGTCTGAGAGTGAACAGAGGCACATGCCAGATGTGTTTGTCTGCAGCTGTTCCTTACTGTCTCAGAGGCATATAGCATATGCGGTGCCCATGTGTACAGCATTCTGGCAGACCCATGAAGTGCAGGGATCCAGCGAGACTCAAAGCCAGTACAAAGTTAGTATGTTACTTCTGTGACCAAGTCCTGTCTCTGACAAGAAGCCAGACTTTTATTCCAACCAGAACTTGCTTCAAGTGCAAAAAGAAGGCCTTGGTGTTCTAAAAACTGTGAGTGGCCAAGAAACCTTGTCATATATTTACTTGTGTGACTGTCGCGTTATGGAACTTTTCACTGGGATCAGGTCATATACTAGAGAAATAGAAGAGCCGCTTTTCTTTTGGGCAATTTTATATTTGCTGGGAATTTTCGCCACGCATTTTGACACAGAAAGGTAGAAATAATCATAATTGCAATAATCAACACACACATCAATCTCGTGAAATTTTAAGTTCTAGAATGGGTCTTGGAGGGTTAAATTTGTCCTGCCATGTGTTCTTGCACAGACTACAAGCTAAGAATGGTTTTACATTTTTAAATAGTTGAAAAAAAATTAAAAGAAATATTTCGTGACGTACAAAATTATTTGCAATTCAAATAAAAGTGCACGTAAACAGTTTGAATGGAACATAATCATGCTCATTTGTTCATCTGTTGTCTTTGGTGCTTCCAGCCACAATGAGTTTAATAGTTGAAATAGAGAGCTGATGACCTGCAATGTCTAAGACATTTACTATCTGGGCTTTCCCAGAAAAGGCTTCCCATCCCTGCTCTGGGGAGAAAGTCATCAACATGACTAGACATGTCTAGACAAGGAGTGGTATGGTGGGATGTATTCAAATCCCCAGGAGAGCTTAAGATAGGCTTTTGGTAAAATACCAGGAATTCATCATCGAGCAGTGAGGCTTTTCAGTCACAGAAGAGTTTCTGAATTTTTCCAAATTATTTGCCCACATAGACATGGTGGGATTTAAAGATTATGCCTAGTGAATGTTTAATATTTAAACGCCATGTGGCAATATTGCCTATTATTTAAAACTAGAGTGAAAGGCAGTTGAAATATATTCCATAAATGTTTCCCTATGAATTGGATGGAAGAAGATCATAAATAATTATTTTTTAATCATCAGTGAATAGAAATGAATGCACATCAATTTTCTACAATTTATTTGAAAACAAACACCCAGTAAAAGTTAACCAGGAAAACGTATTTTTGCTAAGTTACTTATCGTTCAAACTAGAAAGTGCTTTTATTTTCCTTGATGTTTAGAAGAATGCAGTTGTGCAAGATTCCTTCCTAAATTATTCTTTTCCCTAAAATGACAGCTAGAAAGGAACCCTTTGCTCTGTCTTGCCATTGGTCATTTTAGATGTTTTTTCTTCAATGGAGTGAACCCTTGATGAAATAACTTTGCCACGTTGATCTAACTCTTCAACAACAGTCTTTACCAGTGTGGTTTTGGATAAATCTAGAAATAAAAACATATGTGAATACATATATTCAACCTAAGGGATTACATGACAAAGAATTCCACTGCTGGTTGTAATATATATTATGCACATTTTTGGTGAGAGAGTAAGTATAGATTTATTATACTAGTTTGGGATAATTCTATCCTCTCAAAATAATACTTTCAGTTCAAAGCACTTTAGCTAAAATTACTTAAATATCAACTGTTGGACAACCCTTCGGATCCCCTCCCATTGTGGGAGCTTTTCTGTCCTCTCAATAAATCCTGCTGTCACACAGACACACACACACACACACACACACACACACACACACACACACACACACAACTGTTGCCACAGTGTATGACTGCCATTAATGTAAAAGCGTTTGTGGCAATAGAGATAGAACTAGATTTTATTACCTTTAGATGAATTTCCTGAGCTTCCTGATCCAAAGTTTTTTGATTTAGAGCATGAACTGTAAAAAAAAAGTTTATTCTTTTATATTTCTATTTATTATCATTTAAAAATTTATTCATTAAATCAATGAACTCAAGTGAACTTTGTATGCCAAAAACAGATTGTAGTTTTCTATAGCGGAAACTCTTAAGATGTCTGTGTACAGGAGCTGAAAGTAATTAAATGCTATTTAAAGAGAAGATATATGTGGATCTTGTTTTTATTTGATTTTTAAAATCCAGGACTTTAAAACTTAAGGACATACATGCATATGGATCCTGGGGGATTGAACAGAATATGTTTATTTCAGGGCAGCTGTGATACCAGGAATGAACTGAAAGAGGGACACAGCCTGGGGTGGAGGTGGGGAGACTCTTGAAACCCAGAGTGATTAACATGGGCAAATGGGAACTTCTACAGGGATGGGCTGGAGTCATCTGAGGCAAAGGAGGATATTGTGAGGAACAAAATATGGACGAGGTGACTACTGAGGCAAGAGGCGGACAGGCTTTTCTGCAGTGGGAATGAAAAAGGAAAGGTTTGAAAGATTTTGAAGTGGTTGTGCTTACTTTCCGTTGTCATCCATCAGGCGGCAGTAGGTCTCAATTTCCTTTTCCAGGTGGGACTTGATGTCCAGGAGCTGCTCGTACTCGAGCTTCTGGCCCTCGGTCTCGGTCCTGACCTGGTGCAGCTGCTCCTCCAGAGCCCCAATCTGAGTCTGGATCTGCGCCAGCTGGGCACAGTAGTTGCCCTCGGTCTCCGTCAGGGAGCACTCCAGGGAGTGTTTCTGAGGACATCAAAGATGCCATAGCAAGAGATGAAATCATCTGAGGACTGTGTGGACCAGTGTTTCCCAGCAACCGGCAGAACTGCTCCCTAGGCGATGCTGGAAATTGGTGGGGCTTGTCACAATCAGATGGGAAGAGGAGGGGACTGGCATTTATAGGATGGGGGCCAGGCACGCTGGGTGACCTGACAAGGGATAAGTGACCCTTTCCCCATAAGACTTTTGACTGTTCCACTGGACATTCATGATATTTAGGTTATATTTCCTATTAAGACCAACATATATATTGAAGCATCTTTTTAGGGTAGCACAGTGCATCACTATGGGGAAATTTCTATTTTGCAACTGCTATGATCCCCACAGATACACCATGCTGAGGCCTTTCGTGCTACTCTATCCTTTTCTCATCCGTCTTCGATCGTCCTCGAAAGGTCTTTTATTAAAGCATCTGAAGTTGAACGAAAGCCTTAGGATTGCAAGATAAGAGATATATCTCATCACTCAGTACAGGTTATTATTTTGACATCACTCTTATGAATATTACACTTCCTCTCCTACTTCCACAGTCTGTAATTTGTCTTAGCACGTGATCTCTACTTTAATTAAGGTAATTTTCCTCTTTCCCTTATTATATATAAATATGTCTGGGCAGTTATTACTTCTCTTGATATTAAATATTATCCGTGTGCTAACCCCTGCTTCCAGCTCTTTCATTTCCTTTTCTTGGGTGAAGTGACTTCTGGTCTTACATTGTTGAAAATGAAACATTTATTAAAAGATGCAAGTCAGCCTCTGTCTCATTCAGTACATGTCCCGGGGTACTTAGGTTCAAGCATTTATATAGTAAATACATTTTAATTTAAAATAATGCTTTTATTTTTTCTTTTTAATTGCAGTTATGACATTATGTGTTCCAAAAATAATTCTGTGTATTGCTAAATATATTACCTATTGATTTCATTCTAGGATTGCTTAGAGGGGGTTATAAAATATTTTTATTCATCCTAACAGGCAGACATTTGGACCTAATGGGGCTGAGAACCAGACTAAGGCTTAGAAACATTGACTTGGGCTGGCAGGTGCGTTGCGTGAAGGGTGCTGGGTGGAAGGTGATCAAGATGGTCATGGGGATGGTGAGGCAACCGGTGACAAGATGGCAGTGACATGTGTGCTCAGTAACTTCCCTGATAATGTGTTAAAGTACTGCCTCTTTTTAGAGTGGCGAACTCAAAGGGATCTTTCAATGGCTATGAGTCACCTTTTCCTTCCTGACTCACCGTGCTGGCTTGTATAATAGTTGCTCTTTTCTTTGTGTTACAACCTTGGTGTCCTCAGGGAGCACACAACCTCTTGTGAGGTCAAGGGATCCTTAGGCCATGTAGGTGCCACCATTCTCAAAATCAAGCCTTTTGGGTGCTGCCAGCTCACACCCCAAAAGGGAGGCCGGTTTTAGTCCTGAGGTGACTCCATGGTAACCTCTAAGTAACGCAGGTGTTGGTGGGATGTGGCCAAGTGACTGAGTGTCCAGCTCTAGGGGTGTGTCCTCTGGGATGGGACCTCCACCCAGGACACTGGGGATGAAGAGGCTGACGGTGCTCATGTGGAGTTCAAGTGTGTACCTATGTTCCTCTGCCTGGTGCACAGCACGATGTGGCTTTCAAAATGTCTTCGTCAACATTAGGAGATGCTGGTGGGACACTATCCCTGCCCGGTGTGGCCGCATGACCACAGACCTGTCACTTAGCTTTCAGGTGGAGCGCTACTGCTACTGTTTGCTCTGCGGGGCTGAGATGAATCACCCTAAGAAAGGATCTATGTGAAATGTTTATTGTCATGAAATGAGCTCTGAACGTCAGGCAGGAAGGAAGTCCTCAGGGATGTCAAGGAGAAAGAAACTGCCCTCCTTCCCAGAGACTCTGGGTCTGCTTTCCTGCTCTTTTCAAGTGTTTGGAGGCAAAGTCATACTCCTCGGGAAGGAGAATGGGCTTCTCTTAGGCTTTCGAGAATCACACAACCCAGGCTGACCTCCGCTCTCACCTACCGTTGCCAGCCGGGACTGCAGCTCGATCTCCAGGGTCTGCAGGGTGCGCTTCAGCTCCGTCAGCTCGTTCCTGGCGGAGGTGGTGGCGCCGGCGTCGTGCGAGATCTGCAGCTGCAGCGAGGCGCTCTGGAAGGCGGGGGCGAGGGTCGCGCGGGGTCCGGACCGCGGGCGGGAGGGGCGGGGCCGGCGGGGCGGGGCGGGGCCGGCGAGGCCGGAGGGGCGGGGCCGGCGAGGCCGGAGGGGCGGGGCCGGGCGGGGCCGGGCGGGGCTCACCTTCTCATTGAACCAGGCCTCCGCGTCCCTGCGGTTTTTCTCGGCCAGGGCCTCGTACTCAGCTCGCATGTTGTTCAACAGCACCGTGAGGTCCACCCCGGGGGCCGCGTTCATCTCCACGTTGACGTTGCCTCCAGCTGCGCACTGCAGGGCCTTCATTTCCTGGGGGGACACACGGGGAGGGCTCGAGGCGCGCTGTGCATTCACACGCGGGCTGAGAAGTTTTCATTGGTGCTACCTTGCCTCAAAGCTTGTGGTCGCGCGTGTAATTTATAGCGCAGGACTTTAACATTGACATTCCATACCTATCCTCTGTTTAATTAAGGATCCATTCCCTAAAACCACCACCACCACAAAAACCAGTCACAGCATCCTAAGATAAGTTTTTTTAAATTTTTTTAAGTAAGAAGGGGATATAAAGACCAGAGAGTTATTCACACAGTTATTGACTGCATGTCAAACCGATGGGAATAGACCCGTGGAAAAAGCTTAAAACTCTGGTCCTTGTGAAGCTTTTACTTTAGGGATGACAGCTGTCATTTGTGGATTATTATATGCCAGGCACTGCTCTAAGCACGTTGCACAAGTTAATTAACTCATTTAAGCCTTTTAACATCTCTGCATGGTGGGTACTATTATTAGACTTATTTTGCAGATGAGGAAACTGAGGCACAGATTGATGTAAGGAACACACCTAGATTACTTAGGACGGGAGAAGGCTGAGATTTGCACGCTCTGGAATTTGCTCATACCACTCTGACTCCCCAGTGTCTGCTCTTCGCAGTTACAGCTGCAGCTTCTCTGTTCTGGGATATGTGTCAGGTCAAAGCATTAAACGGACTGAGTCAGAGAGTTGATTTCTGGACATATGAGCACATGCATGACCTGAACTTAGTTCTGTAGGGAGTCGACCTGCTTCACTGTAACTACTTTTGAGGGATTAGTGTCCCTGTTTTCTTAAGCTGTCTTTTTCAGATCCTGGATCAGTGACTTTTCAGTGCCCGCTAAGAGTAAAAGATTTATATTACCCAAGGAAATGACTATTGGTTTATTTCCACACTTTGGGGTTTCGTGTAAGATTCCTTGAGAAGAAAAATTCTTGTTGCTACAGCAGTTTGAAAATTGAATTGCTTAAAGTTATTCTGGGGGCATGGGTCTTGGGGAGTGTGGGCAATATGACAGTCTCAGAGCATGTTGAGATGTGAGTACCTTAAAAAACTTATTATTTTTTCATTTTGACCCCTGAGCTGTAACAAATGGCTATTTGCTCCTGTCTTTGGTGCATTCAAATCTACCCCTTTCGGTTGGTGTCTTTATGGACCTAGTTAACTCTATGTGATCACCACTCTACCCTGAATGCCCTCCTCTCCCGACTGGCTGGGCTGCTGTGGCTGCCATTTATTTCTTCTCTGGAACTTTCTTTTCTTGATGTCTCTCTCTACAATGCATGGTCTACTTCCCAATCTCCTACTCATACTCGCTGGTGGTCTGACTCTTCTTCCTGTGCTCTGCTCTGTGACTCCTTCTTCTTTTCATTTCTTTTTATGCTTTTCTTTTTCTAATTTTCCTTCTTTTTCCCCTCCATGGAGCCAAACGTGCTGCCCATCAAAAGTGGGCTGGATAAAAAAATGTGGTACATACACCACAGAACATGATGCAGCCCCAAAGAAAGACAAAATTGTGAACCTTGCAGCAACTTGGATGGATTTAGAGTCTATCATACTCAGTCATCTATCATAGAAACAAAGAACTGAGTACCACATGTTCTCACTCATAAGTGGATGCTGAACATAATACTACAGGAAAGGGATTGGTATTTCAGCCTGTTCAAACCAATAATGGGACACTTCCTTTTGAAGTATTTTCTGAAAAATTGTCCTCCATTGTTTTGGAGGCTTGCAACTACTTTAGAAACAGCCTTTTTTGTTTTGAGTGGATTGAAACTGTTATTCCTTGTCAAACAATGGATTTACTGTTGTGCAGGTTCACCGTGAAAGTAAACTCAGGCTCATGAAGGGGAGAAAAACACTGACATCTGTTCCTAGTCAGAGAGGTCTTTTGTGAGGAAGTTGACCTCAAGATAGGTCTATAGGAATGAAAGAAATAATCTAGTTGAAAGAAAGATGGTTGCATTAATGCAGAAGAAATATATCATTTTCCAGTGGATACAACATCGTATCAGCCTAACAAATGGAAAGATACAGATCAAATCGTTAATATTTATTACCTTTGTGGGAGGGGACTAGAAGGGCAGAGTGGGAGAAATGAAATTCTTTCTTTATATCCTTTGGCATGGATGAATTCTAACAACGAGCAGGAATCACTCTTGTAATTGTAACACACCCTCCCACTCCTACCCCTCGCAAGTGAAGAATCATGATTTGACCAGAAGTAAAAGCTTCTCTTACCTCTTCGTGGTTCCTCTTGAGATAGGTCATCTCCTCACTCAGGGACTCATATTGCAGCTCCTGGTCAGTCCTGCAGAGCGTCAGCTCGTCCAGGACCCGCCGTAATCCGTTGATGTCTGCTTCTACATTTTGGTGAAGGGCGAGCTCATTTTCATACCTTGGGAGGCATTAAATATAAATTTCAGTGCAAGTCGTACTACCCCAAGAAACAGAAAAGTCAAATATCAATTGCCTTAAGCTGAAAATTAGAAATTGAATTGAGATGTTGAATAGTATAAAAAATACAAAGAAAGCCCTTCCCCACTCCCCACACCTAACTCCGTGCAGGATGATTGGCAGCTATTTAATTACACAAATTCTAATCAAATATCCCAATTAAATAAAAGTATACCACTTTGACAATTTTTTTTAAATCTTAGTCAGCATTTTAAACTCAGTTGGTGAATAGTCACTGGACATCTACTTTGTGCTTGGCAGTATTCTAGGCAGGCATAGAAATACATTGATATTTTGTCTTAAAAATGTAATAAATATATATAAATTTTGGGTATAGTTGCTTGTAGTATTATAATATAAATCCCTTCTTTTGATCCTTTAGGTTTTAGTTTTTTCTACTTGGGATGACATGGAAATTTTATTTAACAAATTAAATAGATAGGAGTGTGATAGTTTTCTATCACTTACTTTAGCTGGAAGTCATCAGCAGCCAGTCTGGCATTATCTATCTGCAGAATGACATTAGCATTAGCAGTAGTGGCAGAGATAACCTAGAAGAAGTTAAAATGGAGACCACAACAAAAGTTTGCTTTTATAATTTCTTATTTCGGGAAATAAAAAAAGTTACACAGTTAAGCGTTTGCATGAATAAAGATCTTACTTTCAATTTAACAATCAAACTTTAAAATCTAATTTAAAAAAATTGAAAATAGGGTTTTATTTATTCTCATATAATTTTAGAATATAATCCTTTCTCCTGTGTGAAGATATTTCAAAATAATGGAACCAATCATATTTTAATTGAAGTTCATGAATCAAAGTGCCTTTTTTTTGAGTTGGAATCACTCTGTCACCCAGACTGGAGTGCAATGGCATGTTCATGGCCACCACAGCCTCAACCTGCAGGGCTCGGGCAATCCTTCTGTCTCAGCCTTCCAAGTAGCTTGAACTACAGGTGTGTACCACCACACCCAGCTAATTTTTTTTTTTTTATTGTAGAGATGAGGTCTCACCAAGTTGCTCAGGGCTAGTCTTGAACCCCTGAGCTTTAGACAATCCTCTTGCCTCGGCCTCAAAAAGCTGTGATTACAGGCTTGAGCCACCATGCCTGGCCTCCTGTTTCTGAGTAATAGGAAAAATTATCACAAAATAGATGATACATAAATAAATACAAGTTACAGATACTAGTCATGAAACCTTTCCTGTTGCAGTTCTATGTCTCCGGCTAGGCAGTTCTTAGTTTTAAATACTTTGAATGGTTCCAAGTTTGTGATCACTCACCTTATTCTTAAGCTCCTCGATGGTTACATGATACCTGCTGTAGTCATGATCTAGTCCACGGCAAGATCCAGGTCCGTATTTTTCATACCAGCCCTTGATTTTTCTCTCTAATTCAGTGTTGTCCTCCTCCAGAGCTCGCACGCTATCCAGGTAGGATGCCAGGCGGTCGTTAAGATGTTGCATGGTCACCTTCTCATTTCCAGAGAGGAGCCCTCCTTCACTTCCAGCAAAGCCAACACAAGCAGCACTTCTCAGGGCACCCCCGGCATAGGCCCCTCTGGGAACACTGTCCATGCCCCCTCCCAAGGCACAGGAGAATCCAGTTCCGGCGACAAAGCTGCCACACATGGTGCTGCGTGTGCCTCCACTGGGTAGCCTGGCAGATCCAGATCCAGGCCGGAAGCAAATATGGCTGGGTCTGCCAGAAAATCGGAGAGACATGGTGGTATAAGACACGTTTCCCCCGTCTGTGGGCAGCTGTAACGGCCAAGGAGAACAGAATATGAGGGGCTGACGTTTTATATACAATTGTTTTATATACAATTAGTGGGGTGTTTCTATTTAAGTTATGTATGCCAAAAGAAAAATGGCATCATTCAGATTAGCATAAAATTATGTATAATTGGGTGATTTAAAAAAAGTAATTAATGTCTAATGTCCCTGGGTGTTGCCTCAGGATATTTGTTATCTTAAATATAATAGGGTTTGTTCTATATTAAGTTCATTATTTTAACTTCTAATTTCGAGTGAGTAATCCTTTACTTTCATGTAGACCCTTAGGAATATACCATCATTATCTGGTGCAGAGTATTATTAAGTTTTTTTAAAAGTTAAGTAAGATTATGATAGGGTACCGTGAGGTACCCTAGGGTCTCGATTACCACTGAGGTATACCAAAGACCATTAGCTACAGAAAGAGGCATTTAATCCCTCTAGAGAAAAAGAAAAGTTTCATTTAAAAAAAAGTCCCTGGTAACTCCCCTTTTCTAATCATGGTTAAAATATCTATGAGGTCCTACTATTAGGTTTGTGAACCATCCTAGAGAAAGTGCTCCATACTTCATTGCTGAATATCAGTACAGTCATCTTCGAAGGAGTCCCCCTGGGAAGCTGGGCATGGACACCAGTGCCTAGTCCACCTGTCAAAGCAATTGTGAAACTCTTTTTCTGAAACGATGATCAGAGCTGTCCTACTTTCATCATCAAATGTCCTCCTTTCAATATTTCCTTTATCTTTGGGTAAAGAAAATAGTCACTGGAGGTCAGAATGGGTGAGAAGGTAAGGTACCCAGTGTACAAAAGGAATTTGTACATTCCTGCCAACATAAGTGCACGGTGGCAAGTTCATGAACTTAATTGTCAGTCCTTTAAAAATGATATCAGCTCTGATGGCCAGTCCAGAAAAAGAGTTCCAAAATTACTTTGACAGGTGAACTAGGCACTGGTGTCGGTGCATAGGTTCCCAAGGGGAGTACTTTGAAGGTGACTGTAGGGATATTTAGCAGTGAGGCATGTAGCACTTTTTCTAGGTTGAATTTGCAAACCTAATTGTCATAACTTGTATTTACTACCTCGGATAATGACACAGATATTAACTTATTTCTTTATTAAAATAGAATGGTTACAATGTCTAGTGTTCTATACCAAATGCAAAAATGAGAGACATGGTGCTACATCAATGAAGGAACAAAACGAAAATGCTATCACAATCTTTAAGAAACCCGTGGTCAGGTCTATGGATCTCTGTGCTAGTCTAAAGAATTTGGAATGCATCCTAAGCATAGAGCAGAATGCAACATGATCAGGCTAAGATGAAACAGAAGGCCAATTATAAGGGTAGAACAATAGTCCAGGTGGGAAGGATAAAGGCAACAGGGAGGGAGAGAGGATGGAGTTGAGAAGATTTGGTAATTGAATTTGGAGAGTAAGGAAGCAGGAAGAATTAGGGATGACTCAGAGAATTAATTTCAGATGCTGGGAATTCACTGTATTAACAAAGATGGGAAATATAGGAAGGAGGAGATAGCTTAGTTTTGGACCAACTGGCTTTGAGGGGTTGGTAGAATGTCTCAGATGAAGGTGACTGGGAGGAAATGTGAATGCTTAGAATAAGAATGCTGAACTGGGGAAATATCTGACAAGCAATGAGTAAAAGGGTTGCCAGGAAGATCTGAGGGCTAAACTCTCATTTGTGATAACATTCAACTGCATATTTGGGAGTAATCCTGGTATAGGAATAGTGAGATGACAATCAGACTGACATGGATTTTGGAATTTGAAGACAGGCTCAGAAGAAGGAAAAAGTGGCAGAGAAATTTCTGGTGCTTTGAGAAAATGATTGAGGTGATTGGCCGTATAGAAAGAAAACTACTGAAGTGATTGACCATACAGAGAGAAAACCATGTAGGTGATTGATCATATAGAAAGAGGAAAGTAAAACCACAGGAACAGACAGACTGAGGAAAAGGAAGTTGAGTCATTGGGCATCTTTATGACATCACGGAGCAGGAAGAGTGTGGATAGGAGACTGATGGAGGTGAAGAAAGACAGGTTCAACTTGGATAGTGGAAACCGGAGCTTAGAAGTTTAACGTAGGCACAACCTCAGGTGTCACCAAAGTCCAGAGAATCACGGGGACTTTACCCAGCAGTCCCTGGAACAAGAGGCCAGAAGTGGGTTGGACCTGAAGGTCACTGGAGTAAGAAGTCAGAACTCCCAGCCTATGGTGCTAAATGGGCCATCCATAAAGACATGAGGTTTCTTGTGATGGTGGGATACAGAGAGAAGTGGCCTGCACGACAGGTGCCAAAGGAATTGGATGATGAGGGGGCATGTGCGGTGAGGGACCCTTGGATGGCATTTGCCTTAAGAGATGAGTCTTAGCATAAGAACAAAGTGGCACGAAGCTGAACGTGGCCTTGGGGTCCAGAGAATACAGTCTCTGCCTTGGAGTCTCTGTTGGGTGTGGGGAAATGGGAGGGGGAGGGGAGACAGAGGGTGAAGAGAGAGGTGGGAGAGGGAAAGCTGTGGGAGAGGATGCAGGGGTGGGGAGAGAGATGAGAATGGAGGTCGAGGACGAATGGCAAGTTTCTGGTAGAAAAATTTGCTGAGAAAATTCTGCAGAGAGGTACCTTCCGGGGTTAACGCCATAAAAAGTCATTTTGGATGAACCCTTTTGCAGAGAGACAGAGAAGGTTCAGGTAGTCGTCAAACGCAGATAAAAATGGTTTCCACCTCATCGTTTTGTTGAGAAACTACACGAGAACATTCCTGGTAAATGGAAAATGTTCCATGAATGGCAGCCATTGTTGCTGTTGTTGTTGTTGTCACTGAGTGTGTAGGGGCTGGGACGCCAGGCCGCAAGGGAAGAAGTGAGCAGGGAGAAGCTTTCCCTTGAGGCTGTGGCTGCAGAGGGTGGGGGTGAAGAGGGTGGGGAGGGCAGGAAAAAGGAGGAACAGGAAGGACTTGGTTGGACTTGACCGGTTGCGGGTTTGGGTGTGGAACACAGATTTGCATTTGTTTTGCCAGTGGGACAGGCAGGGGTGTCTCCTGGAACAGTGTTGGCATCAGCAGCCTGGAGTCTGGTCAACTCAAGCAGCCCTGGCGTGGCCTTTAAATGCATTTTCTGTGCAAAGTTGTAGGATGTTCCTAGAGTTGTAAAGAGCCTTCGATATCGCCTAGTTCAGCCCCCTTTATTGATAGATGCAGCAACAGAGCCCCAGACAGGTTAAACAATTTGCTCAGAGTCATGAGGCGCAGGCCAGGTGAAGTCCTAGCATATATGTTCAAGGTGACCTTGGGACTCTGGCAACATGAGCATATTTTTTATATAAATCATGACTATGATTCTTACTAATATGAATACCTATTGTATATATTGTCATCTGTAGTCTTAACACACATGAATTGTAAAAGCATTCTTTTAATTAAAAAACAAATTGTTTTTGTAGAGATAAGTTCTTACTATGCTGTCCAGGCTGATCTTGAACTCCTGTGCTCAAGCAATCCTCATGCCCGTGCCTCCCAAAGTGCTGGGATGACAGCATGAGCCACCATGTCCAGCCTATTCTTTTAACTGAATTGTTAAAATTGAAACATAAAGAATCAGAATATCAAAATATATAAACAATTGTAAATTTCTCCAGTGCCTGATGATTACTTAAGTCCAAATCAATTAGACAAGTAATGGGTGTACCGTGTCTGGATCCTTCACAGATAAATAAATGTTCCCAAAAGAGCATTTTACAACAAAAAGGACAAAACAATGTATCACATGCTGGAAAATTGCTGAAGTAGGTTTTAAGTGTTCTTAGCTCACAAAAAAATAAGTATGTGAGGCAATGTATTATGTTAATTAGTTTGGTTTATCCTTTCTGCAATGTATATGCACTTCAAAACATCATCTTGTACACCATAGATACATACAATTTGCATTTGTTAATTAAAAAATAAAAACAGCAAAAAGGAGAAGAAAAGCGGTTTCTTGAAAAGCATGAGCTTAAGTGGATTCTCCCTTTCAGCTAAGGTCCGTCAGTCCCCAGGATTCCGGCGAGGCCCGTAGCTGCCCGCACTTTCCCTCTCTTTCCACCAGGGGGCAGGGCTCGCCTTCAGAAGGATGTTGCCGCGCTGAAGCTTGGGGATGCTTGGGTCAGAAACCCCTCTTCAGCCTGGGTCGCCCAGGCCCTCAGTTGGAGACAAGTAAGCCCCCGATAAGAGACAGTCTCCACATTTGTCTTTTTGAAGTTCCGGAACGTGATGAGCAGAGGCCACGACGGCCTTGTGGTGTTGTGCAGCTTCCAATGGGATTTCTTGTCTCTTATCTCATGTGAACGCCACCACGAGCCGGGGGACAGAGGTTTCCTCTCCTTCTAAAGATGAGGAAACTGAGGAAAAGAACAACTCAAGGTCATGCAGTGTGAAACTGGGTGAATGAGGCCTTGGGACTGTGGTCCTTCCGGTGTCTATAATGACGCCTGTGGTCAAGTCAAGAAATGGAGCTCAAGCAACGCAAAAAATCCTTTTCTGATGAAGTCGAAATGTTTCTTCCAAAATGCTTTTCAGAATTTCAGGTGAATAGCAAAATGAAACTTTTGGCTGCAGTTATGCTGCCCATCAGATGCCGTTCATTCATTCATTTAAGAAATATTGAATGAGTGCCTATGAGGTGTCAGGTACCGTGCTAGTTAGCAGGTGATACTGAGGAAGAAAAGAGATGCCTTCTCAACTCTCATGGAACTTATTGTTTACTGGGGAGATGGGCCTTAAGCAAATAACCACACATTTATACACTATGTCATGTATTAGGGAAGGAAGAAGTTAGGGAGTGTTAGGACTCCCTAACTGTTAGGGAGGGCCTAATAGTGACTGGGGCAATCTTTTTGAAGAAATGACATTAAGCAGGGATCTGAGAAGGGGCAAGGACATTGTCAGGCGGGGGAAAGGGGGGATGCGTGGAAGGGCATTCTAGATGGGGAAGAAAATATAAATAATTTTTTTTC